TTACGCAGCTTGTGTAATATCTTTTCCCTGCTGCTGTACAAGCCAGTCCAATTGAGGTTACTCAGGGTTATAAAGTTCCTCAAACTACTATCTCCATCCAAGAATGTCCCCGGTAAGAGGATGTTCAGTCCTGTCCTTTAAGACAATTAGAATGCTCTTTTTTTCATTTCGGAGCCGGCGAATGGTCTACCAGTATACTTTGCTTGCCGTGTGGAAATCTCCGTGGTATCAGGCTTGGCTTTTGCTGCCCCTTTGCGTGACTCGACATATCGCATACTTGCAAGGCAAGGATCTGTGTTTCTAAGCCATTTATTGAACGCTCCTTTCTTCTCTTTAGCTGCTAGTTGCACCTCTCGTGTCCACGAGGAAGATCTTTTCTGACCTCCAAGTGGCAGGCCAAGTCCATACCATTCGGCGGCAGCTTCCAGTATGCCGCTCTGAAAGAGCTACCACTCATTTTCAAAATCAGTGGTTATCACTGGGATCTGTTTAAATCGTCTAGCGATGTTGTTTGCAGATTTTGCTCTCGTGTCCAGAGAAGATAATGTTTCCCGTCTGATACTCTGGTTGCTTGTGACATCATCTTCGTATGGAATTCCATGTCTCAGCGTAACTTCCCAAAAACAAGGCAGTGATCGGTTAATAGCTCTGCCCCTCTCTTTATACGAACATCCATTGCAAAGCGATTTAAATCAGACAGTGCGATTATCAAATCCGTCATCGACGTCTCTGCACAAGCTTCCCGTACTAGGTACACTGAAGCATTCATCGATGCTCAAAAGAAGTGTTTATAATGGACAATCCGTTATTTGCACACAACAGCAACAAGTTGTTGCCTAATCATCATATCTCCGATCTGGCGAAGCGGGTACTATCTACGATGAAGAGGAACTGCCACAAATGCAGTACATGGTACAGGAGACATCAGAACGAAATGCCCGTTATCCTTTTTGGACAACAAAGAACTTGCTACCCTTCCATTGAGCGTAAACATATTCACTACCGTTTTGTTTTGCAAATGACAAGTTTAGTGCCTATAACAGGGTGGAAGTGGATCGATCCTCTCCCTAGGACAGAGATACACCTCATTCGCAGAATGATGCTTTCAGTTCCTTGTTGAAGCCATCTTGTTTAACGCGAACTTGCCTTCACTGACC